CACGCTGATCGATATCGTCATAAACATCTAATATCATGTGCAGGAAATCAATTTCTTAGCACAGAAATTGGATTTTATTTTCCACAACCGCCAATCACCTGACTTCAGATGAAAAATTTAATCAATAATTACCTAAAAACGACACAAAATATATTTTCTTTTCATATAGGGCTGTGAAACTGATCGAGTTAACCCTGATTAATTTTAGTGCTGCATGGGCATAGATTAAATATTTTAATCATGATTAATTGCAATTAAAATTTACAATCACTTTACTATGGCTGAATATGTAGGTTTGTATACTGCAATGCACTCAGTGCATTGCAGGTCATGTTTGTTAATGAGTGGTTCTCAAACTGTTTACCTGGATAAATAAAGGTTAAATAAATAAAAAACCGCCATGTGTAACACATTATGTAAAGTTTTTTTATTTTTGTCTTCTTATGGCTTATTTTATTTTATTTATTTATGTTTTGCTGACAGCTGTGACCTTAGTATCTATCTTTCATTCATTTGGAATGAAAATCCATGAATTCTTGATTTAACCTCGTTATTCTGCACAAAACTTAACTGACTCAAATATGTTTGGAGCATTTTTAGGTCCTGTTTTATCTTCAAAATAATCATGTCTGAGCATTAATGTTGTTTTCTAAATAAAAACGTTCAAACTAATTAATAACTCAAGTAATTTATTTTATCAATACGCAATAGAAATGTATATTAAATTTAAGATCAATCATGATTAATTCACAGCTACTTTGGGATTAATCAGATAAAAAATATTAATCAATCGACAGCCCTGATTTCATATAAACACACAGTCTTTTGGTTACATTCATACCTATCTAAAAGGACTAAGGAGGAACCACTTTGTCCGTAAAGGGTGGACAACTTTATTTGAAGTGTCCGTGTGGACAGGCAGATCAATCACTCAACAATCTTATCACCTTTAGCACAGCTACCAGCTTACAGTCACTCTCTTATCACACTAATCCGGATAACTTGAGCACAGAGTCTCTGAAGGCAGCAGGAATAAATTAGTTTACTCCTACACTGATTGGATTAAAAGCCTAAAGTGAGCCTCAACTCCGCGACTCCGACAGCTAAAGATGCYCAACTTCAAAGACTGAGTCGGCCTGACTGAAAACAGATATACTTTATTTCTCGTGTTTACATTCGATTGTGAATCCGATAAGTGAAATTTTACATAAAATAAAGGCTCGAGTCGTTCGTGACTCCTTTACGTCCCTCGGCTCGTGTCGAGGGAGCAGCGTTTTCTATGACAGCTAACTTAATAGAAAAACCAGCGGAAGCTAAATGTGAGCTTCTGGAGCTCGCTGTCTGCTTCCCATCCCTGGGGAGTTCAAGTCCATCACGACTGAAACTCATTCCAGGAGCAGCGGTGCTCCGACGGGCTCGTCGCCATTTGGGTCTTGAGCGGAATCACTTCCCGCCAGCACCGACGTAACGCCGACTGCGTATCTCCCACCGCAGCTTTTATAAACGCGCGCTGATAAAGGAATTCCACAGCACGGCGAAGAATGAACACAAAGAGCTGGCTGTCAAACAGCGACATGGAAGACGCGACAGCAACACGTCAGTGGACAAAGGCCTCCGTGCGACAGAGAAACAAAGCTACAAAAGCTGAAGATGACTGACAGAAAAAAGGAACGTCTAAAGGCCAGCGCTGACTAAACACATAGGAGCTGCTCCATTTAAAATGCACAAGAAATCCCTTATAGGTTCAATGCGACAAGAGGAGAATAATATATCAAAGTTCTTGCATTTTAAAAATTGTGAAGAGTGCCAACTATAAGGTGTTTTTCCACCTGTAGACGCAGCGAAAGTGACCAAGAACAGGTCCAACTTACAGCCATTTCCCAAAAGCCTCAAATTTTAATACCAAGTCCATTATAGTGCTCCACCGCCCTGCTTAATCCACAAGTGCATGTCCATTTTTATGTGTCTTAAGTGTTTTATTAAGGAAATATGGCAAGTTGTAAAAGATAACTAAGTGTCAGCTCAGATACAGCAGAAATCTGGATCCCTGGATGTGCACACTGCAGTCTGAGGGAAACTGGACGGCCTACAACAGGGCTATTCAACTAAACTGCTCCAGGGCCACAGTTACTGCAGGTCAACAGCTCAGGGGCTGAACATCCAGCAATTTATTTTGTACATAAACCAAGTCTTAAAAATATCTGTTACCTTTGAAATAGTTYATTTTGCTGCATCTAATCATGAATACAACATACAGAACCCTAAAAAGTAGTGATAATTTAACAATATCAAAAACAAAAATAACACATTATGCATCCTATTTGACACAAATAATATTTTGACATCTCTGACTTGCCAAATTTGTTAAACCAATTTTATTTTCACTTTCATAGTTTTATCTTCAACTGCTTGTAATTTTAAATGTTTTGAGTGTTCATAGAAATGATTTTGACCATCTTGTAGCCAAGATTCTGACGTTTCTGTAGACACCGAACATGTCTGTTTAACTAAAAGAACTYATCAGAAAAACTAATCAGAAAAACGGGGGTTTTGGCTTAAGAGATGAACAAACCAATTGGCGGGCCGAACTTTGGTCACGCCAGTTGAATAGCCCTGGCCTACAGCGAGTGAGAGAAAGTGAAAATGCCTACATTTTGATGTGTAACCTGTATAAGAAGTGTAAAGTTTGTGGGAGTAGGACAACTTTGTCTAAAAACCTTTGAAAGGGTCTAGACCAGTGTTTCCCAAAGTTAGGGTCCCGAAACATCAAGGTGGGGTCCTGAAACGATTCTATGAATTAATTACATTTTTGCCTCAGTTGTTACAAAGGAGTGAGGTTAGTGTATTTAAAAATGGAGAAATGTAGTATAAAAATATTGTTACTATGCCCATGTTTTGTTGACCTGATACAAATGTTTATCATCCAAAAATAGTTGGGGGCACAGATCTTTGCTACTGTTATTTTGTGGGTCAAAAGCTGAAAAGTTTGGGAACCACTGCACTTTGGTTCCCAAAGTTGGGCTTGGGACCCAATTATGGGTCATGAAGCGCCTTGGATAATCTCCAGAAATCAATTTAAAGGGTWATAAAATAATTGCTGATGTAATATTTTTCCTATAATTATTACAATAACACAAAATAAGTAAAAATAAGTATTTATATTTGTGTACAAGCTGTTTAGATTGTCAAAAATCCTGTGTTTTTAGGGTTATTAACAAAGTTCATGTACTCAGACCAGTAATATTTGGGGTCACAAGTTTTTGCCATGGATATTTTGTGGGTCAGAAGATAAAAAGTTTGGGAACCACTGGTCCAGACCACTAAACGTTACTGACATCACTGCATTGTTTTCAAGGTAAAACTTAACTCCTTTTGCAAAACCCCCATTGTTGTCTACGGGGAAATTTGTCCATTTTATTTTATTTTTGCCAATTTTGTCTTCTGCTGCTAAAAGTCATTGCACATCAATTCCAACAAAACCAATTTTTTTTGATCATTTATGGTTTTTCCAAAGCTGCAAGAAAAGATCTGAATGAAAAATAATGATAAAATCAGACAAAAACAGGTCAGTAATAAGGCTGCTTCAGGGCTTTGGTCATCTTAAATCAGAGGTGCMTAAAGTGGGACCTGTGGGCCAAAACTGTCCCTCCAAGCCTTTTGATTTGGCCCTCCAGCAGTTGTCCTCGTTACCAGGTTGTAATCTCTGTAGAAACACTTCATTTAATTCATTGGCCCAACGTCTAYATAATGGGCTGACAGTTTTCATTCATGGTGCATACTTAACGTGGGCCACTGTGGGCTGCTAAAGCTGAATCATTAAAAATAAAAGGACTTTGCAAAAAAGTGTTTGAAATTCACGAATTATATTACTGCGTTTGACCCCCTTGAACAGATTTTAATTTTGGCCTTTTCTGGGGAAAAAAAGTTTGGGCACCCCTGTCTTAAATAAAGGGTGACATTTGAAAGAGTGGTAGAGGATATGACAATATTCTGAGTCCTGCATTGCATCAACGTCCTGATTTTTTTTAAATCATATCCACGATTTGTTTTACCCTCCACCTCATGCAGCTCMTGTAAGAAAAAAAGCTTAAATATCCTCCCAGAAAGGAACAAACTCTTGCTGCACCGTAACAAACATGAAGTAATCATAACCACTTCCTTTTCTTTTATAATGAGTGTTACTGAGAATGCATCTATTGTTGCACAGTGTAGCTTGCAGGAAAACCCAGGATCTCCCAGCTGAATGAGGAAACACCCAGAGATGAGGGGGGGAAAAAAAGAGTCTGACATCATCCAAGTGTGAGCTTCCATGTTCATGCCTCACATGTGTGTGTGCATGCTTAAACACACACACAGACACACACCCACGCACAGATGTGTAGTTTCCCCCTCTCTCCCTTGCTCTGGACAGACATTCATTATTCTGAGTTTCTGCTGCACCACACTGCAGCTCAACAGCAAAGCAACGGGACTGCACTGACAGTCAGCCATCTGCAGCCAAATACATGTTCACAGAGCATCCATGGCAAAATATGACTGCAGATGGTCTGAAACCATCTCAAATCAGGGTCCTAATCCAGTGGCTATGAGGAGGAATGAGCCTGATAAAAGTTGAAGCACGCAGGAGGATTTGGGGGAGATTTTATGAAATCAAGGCGGGCTGGTTCGGAGTGAACGGCGGGGCAGAGCTGGTGGGGTTCAGCAAACAGATCCAAGAAAAAAAAAAAAAAAAGACAACGACTCTGAAAGCTCCACGTCCCGCAGAGAGGATTTTTATTTATAACCCGACAGGTTGGAGGGTACATGACTCATTGAGCCTCACCTTTTTTCCGCCAGARAAACAAAACAAAAGCCGAGCGGCGAACGGAAAATCTTCAGGCTAGTTAGCTTTACTTCCTTAGCAAAGAACCCGGGCGCCGCCGACTCTCTCAGCTCCAGCCTGGGTCCTTCTCAGCCCACCCACCCCCCCGGTCTCTGACACACACGTCCTGGGAACTTACCGGTCCGACGTGCCGCTGGTGCCGCTGCGGGGACACGACGACCGCCGGGAGGCTGCCGGCCACCGCGCCGCCGCTCCGGGACAACAGGAGCACCGACCTGCACACTTTCGCAGCCATCTCGGTAGTGAAGGAGCTCGCGCCGGCGGGGAAGGAGACTGCTGGCTGCGGGCTGACCGAGACAGACGCACCGAGGAGSGGAAGAGGGAGGGGAGGTGGGCGGGTTGTGGGGCTGGACCACGGACGTACACATGCCCAGTGTTGCACCAAAAACACTTCTGACAGGAGAAAAAAGACTGATCCTCACTCCGCCTCTCCGGATTTTTCACTGACAATCACTAAAGTTGGTTTTGTTTTATAAAACATGGAATAATAGATGCTCTGCTGGTTGCTCATATACTTTAAATTGCAAAAAAATCACATTAAACAGAAGGAGAAACACTTGATCTGTGGTATTTTTAACCATCCAAACCAATGCAATCCAATTTATTTATAAAGCCCTTTAAACTCCTCCAAAAGAGCAAAGTGCTGAAGATTGATTGATTGATTGATTGATTGATTGATTGATTGATTGATTGATTGATTGATTGATTGATTGATTGATTGATTGATTGATTGATTGATTGAT